CGCGGGGCTCGAACCCACGAACCGCGAGATCATGACCCGAGCGAAAGTCGGACGCTTAACCGACTACGCCACCCGGGCGCCCCAACAATAAAAAAAATTTAAAGCGTGTGATGGACTGGTCTTCCCTCAGGGCTGTGGGTGAATTGCCAGAGCTGCGTGGACCCTCCATGGGAGACATGCCAAGCCTAGACCTGAGGAGAACCCAAGCCAGAAGATGCTTCCCCTGCCGTGATTTTACGTAAGTCATTTTATTTTATTTTTTAACTTTTTAAAAAATTTTTAAATGTTTTATTATTGAGAGAGAGAGAGTATAAATGGGGGAGGAATGGAAAGAGAGGGAGACACAGTTTTTAGCAGACTCCAGGCTCTGTCAGAGCCTGACATGGGGCTCGAACTCACGGACCATGAGATCGTGACCTGAGCCAAAGTCAGATGCTTAACCAACTGGCCACCCAGTCGTCCCTTTTTTAACTTTTTTAAAGTTTATTTATTTATTTAGAGAGAGAGAAAGAAAGAGCAGGGGAGGGGCAGAGAGAGGAGAGAGACAATCCCTAGTAGGCTCCACACTGTCAGGGCAGAGCCTGATGGGGGCTCAAACTCACCAACCATGAGATCCTGACCTGAGCCAAAACCCAGAGTTGGATGCTTAACCGACTGAGCCACCTAAGCACCCCTACATAAGTCATTTTATTTTATTATTTTTTTAATGTTTATTTATCTTTGAGAGAGTGAGAGAGAGAGAATGAGAGAGAGAACGAGTAGGAGAGGGGCAGGGAGAGAGGGAGACACAGAATCTGAAACAGGCTCCAGGCTCCGGGCTGTCAGCACAGAGCCCGACGCAGGGCTCGAACTCATGAACCATGAGATCATGATCTGAGCCGATGTTGGATGCTTAGCCAACTGAGCCACCCAGGCGCCCCTACATAAGTCATTTTAACAGCACGGTGACTCTCAGTTGCTTGCAGAGGAGCTCTGTATATTGCACACACACACACACACACACATGCACACATAGGCACACACACCTGTGAAAAGCTGCAGGGTGAAAAAAAAAACCTCAGACATTGCTCACCACTTACTAGAAAGCTCTCTAACCAAACCTCCTTCCTGGAGAACAGAGGGTTCACTTGCCAGGTTACTTGGAAGAGTCACACTCCCCCAGTAGCCTTGGGGGCTAATATTGGACAGATACTTACTGTGTCCCTGCTGCGTCCCTGGGCCCCAGTCTGTGTCCAAAGTTTAAAGGTGGCTCAAGCAGCTCTTTGAGGTCCGGCCTGTCTACATCTGCAGCTTTATTTCTTCCCCATCTCCACCCTCATTAGTGTTCAGGATTGAGAATGTGCAAGCTTCTCTCCGCCAGGAGCACGGTCCACATTCCTTCCTCGCATCCCCTCCCCTTTCCTCTGTGGCCACCCCTCTGTGTCCCTTCCTCAGCTGGGGGCTGCCTTCCTTCCCACCCCTGCGCCACTGGGTTAGGTGCCCTGGGAGACGCCAGCGCAGTCCGTCAGTCCCCATGGCGCAGTGGGGTCCTCAGGTTGGACCCCCGGAGCCCAGGCACATCGCAGAGAGAATGAGGGGCTAATGGGGTGCTCACAGTTCCAGGCCGTGTCTGGCACAGCGTGGCTCCCATGTGGCTCCTGTGTGACAAGACACGGAGCAGGGGCCTCTGGTTTTCTGAATCGCCTCCTCCCCCCCATACCTGGGGCAAGGCCTCTGCAGTCAGGCCCATGGTGAGTGTGGTCCCTCTGGCTGTCCCGTGATGAAACAAGCTCCTTCCATCTCCCTGCTGCCGAAGAGCCAAGGTCAGAAGGCCGAGACAGCAGAGGAGTTAGTAAGAGAAAAAAAGGAGAGTCATTTTCTCTTGCCATGCGCTACCCACCCAGAGTTCCAGGAAGCAAGGCTCCCTGTGGGACTGGGTGCTCCTGGGCCCCAAGCTGCCTCCCCGAGGGCCCGGCTGCGGCTCTAAAACCCTCTCCCACCCGGAACACAGGAGATGTGGAGCCCGAAGTCACCAAAGGGCCCCCCAGTGCTTGCTGCCTGCAAGTGCCCGGGGCTGGCCCAGCCCTGCCGCAGACAGGCCCCTGCCTAAATCTGATGGGGCCAAGGCAGGCTCCCTGGAAGAAAAGCCTGAATTACACAGTACTGTATTTTCTTTCTTTCTTTCTTTCTTTTTTTTTTTTTTAATGTTTTATTTATTTGTAGGAGACAGAGAGCGTGAGCAGGGGAGGGTCAGAGAGAGAGGGAGTCACAGACTCTGAAACAGTCTCCAGGCTCTGAGCTGGCAGTCAGCACAGAGCCCGACGCGGGGCTCGAACCCACGAACTGCGAGATCATGACCTAAGCGAAAGTCGGACGCTTAACCGACTAAGCCACCCAGGCACCCCTGTATTTTCTTTTTGAACAATCTTATGCTCACAGAAAATCGTCAGTTCCAGCATGAAGAACATTTGCCCCCTTGGTTGTTTGCCAGTAAGTTGTCAGCCTGATGCCCATCACTGGCTTCATCCTACAGTGTGTGTCTCCTCCTGACAAGCCACCATCCTACGGAATCGTAGCGCACCATCCAAATCGGGACTGCAGCAGGGACACATCCCAGCCATGTGCCCCTCAGTCCCGCAGGTTTCTCTGACTGGTTCGGTGACATCCCTGCGAGGGCTGGGAGGGGCCGGTCCGGACTCCCAGGCTGTGTCCGCCGTTCTGTGCCTTCAATCTCCTTCGGTCTGAAATGGTTCCTCAGTCACAGTCTGCACAGTTTTGAAGAGCACAGTTTTGCAGAAGGCCGCTCAGTTGGGTCCTTGTGATGTTTCTTTCCCAGGAATCTCATGGACATGGAGGGGTGGGGCTCACGCTTTCCATCTGTCCCGCGATCCCTGATGCTTTTACTTTGCTCTCTTGACAAAGATTGGTATCTGCCAGGCTCCTTCCCGGTGTGGTTACTCTTCTTCTCTTGCTAAGTGGTAAGTATTTTGTGGCCAAGTAATTTGAGTCTGTGAATAGATCCCGTTCTTCCTCAGATTTTTAATGGATTCATTTACTTATTTACATCTGTGCGTGCTTAGCTCTCCTACTCCATGTTGCTGTTGCTCGCTCTTTTGCTGACTTTCGGTCCCTGGAAGTCCCTCACCCACCCACCCACCCCATGCTACTGGCGAATCCCCATCATTCCTTAAGCACTTTCCTGCTTTCTGGCAAAACAAGTTGTTCTGGGCTCATTTTCGACTTTTCCTGCCCCAGCCCTGGAATCAGGCCTCTCTCCCAGGTGCTCTGGTGGCTTTTAGTGGGAAGCTGGGTTTCAAAGCCAGTACTTGGAGGCTAGGAGTGCTCGAGGCCTTGGAGGAGGGGTCGCTGTTCCGTGGCCCTCCAGTGATGGCCAGGGAGCAGAGCTGTGCTTTTCCATCTAAACGTATGGGTTGAAGACCCAGATGGATTAAAGACCTCAGCCTCAGAAAGGAAAGGTAGTATAAGAAAATGCAGGGCACTTGGGTGGCTCAGTTGGTTCAGCGGCCAACTTCAGCTCAGGACTTGATCTCACAGTTCATGGGATTGAGCCCTGCGTTGGGCTCTGTGCTGACAGCCTGGAGCCTGGAGCCTGCTTCGGATTCTGTCTCCTTCTTTCTCTGCCCCTCCCCCATTCGTGCTCTGTCTCTCTCTCAAAAATAAATAAACATTTAAAAAAATTTTTTTAAACTTCTGTTAAATATATGGGTTTGTCTTTATATGTCGAAGTCCACCACAGCCCACCGATAGCTCTGATTTTCATCCTACATCATACGATTCATTCTAGCTGTCTCTGTCTCCATCTTTGTACCTCTCTCCTCTGACCGTGAGAAACCTGGCTCCCGCTGTCTCTGATAGACAGATGTGCTTATTCGACAGGTGCCCCCGTATGTACCCTACCTCTCATCCCTGCCATGCAGCGTCCCCTCCTCCTCTGGCTTGGACTCCATGCAGGGCCTCTGCTCCCCCCACCCCTGCCATGCCCCTCTGCACCCTGCAGGGCCAGGACATTCTTTTCTCCCTGCCCCCTCTCTGGGGCACCATGCCTTCCCCTCTCCCGCTGCGGCCACCTCCACTTTGGGATGGGATGATCGAGAAACAGAATATGAAGGAGGGAGAGGGTTCCCTCGCATTCTTAACCAAAGCTGCACCAAGTGTATAGAGACAGAAGCAGAAAGGAATCACAACAAACATTCTTTTTTTTTTAAGTTACTTATTTATTTTGTGAGGAGGGTGGGGGAGGGGCAGAGAAAGAGAGAGAGAATCCCAAGCAGGCTCTGCACTTGTCAGCCCAGAACCCAACGTGGGGCTTGAACTCACAACCTGAGATGAAATCAAGAGTTAAATGCTTTATTTTTTTTTTAAGTTTATTTATTTTGAGAGAGAGTGCGTATGCGTGTACATGAATGGGGGAGGGACAGAGACAGAGGGAGAGAGGGAATCCTAAGCAGGCTCCTGACCAGCAGTGCAGATCCTGACACGGGACTTGATCCCACCATGAGCTCATGACCTGAGCCATAACCAAGAGTCAGATGCTGAACTGACTGAGCCCCCGAGGCGCCCCGATTGGTAACAATCATTCTTTGACATCAGGCACTCAGCTGGAAAGAGGTCTCAGAGGTTATCAGTTTTGGAGTCACCCCATTTGGGTGCAAACCCCGGCATGGCCCCTACATAGCTGGGGCAAGTTCTTCACCTCCCTGGGCCTCAGTTTCCTCAACTATAAACTGGGGAGATGACAGTACTTCCCTCATGTTGCTGGTGTGAGGCCTCTGGGAGCTAATGCCAAGGGAGGATGTGGCCCCGCACCTGCCCAAGGTCACAGATCCACAAATGTGAGCTCTGACCACTATTGGCGTATTTTTCAGAACCCTAGACAGGAGGGATTCTGCTTTAGAAGGCGGGGCCAGGATGCAGGGTGGGTGTTCCCTGGGCAGGGAGGCTCTCCTAGGCCTGCCTTCTTTGCAGGCTTTTTTTTTTTTTTTTTTGGCATTCCTGCAGCCAAGTCTGGGAGGGAGGGTTTCCTGGACAGAAGTCCCTGTGGCCGCTGCCTTAAGACGTGCGGGCTGGGCCGCGGCTGCCACTGCTCTCCGACCCAGGCCAGTGCAGCAGCATGGAGCTTTGGGGGGCCTACCTGCTCCTCTGCCTCTTCTCCCTCCTGACCCAGGTCACCACCGAGTCGCCCACCCCCAAGGTCAGGAAGGCTGCAAATGTCAAGAAAGGTAAGGAGGGGGACAGGGCACTTCTGCCATCCTCCGGGGGGCTGGTCCTCCTGTCCTTTGCTGCTCTTCCTGCTTCTCCCCACTTCCGTCTTTCTTCCTGGTAAGTCCAGGGAACCTTAGTGAGGGACGCTTGGAGGCTGGGAGACCTCTCTGATACCAGGGGCGGTGGTCAGAACTGTAAGGATCATTGATTCTCCGAATGGGAAAGAACCTTTCATATCATCTAAACCGACACCCACTCCCCACCCCCCAAATACGTCAAAGAAATCAAACCTTTGGTTCGGCAGTGCCAGTGGCCTCTGCTTTGTACAATCTGCGGTTACTCGACTGTAATAAAATGGGGAGCGTGGCATTTGCCGACAGGCTTCCAGTTAGGATCTCATGATCCCAAACAGGCAAGTGCCGAACCCAGTGCCAGGCACGTAGGCTATACCTAATGAGCATGGGGAATAGAAGGACCAGGTTAATTCTCTGTGTGGTAGCACATCATACAGCCTCGAGGAAATAAAAATGTGCAAACCGACAAGCTAGGACGCCAGAAGCAGATTCGCGTTCCCTCCGTTGCCTCTGGGTTTGGGGTATCTTTGGGTCGTCTTGGCTGGTGCACGGGCCTGCCCTTGGAGCCCTGCCTGTGGTGAGGTCACCCCAGGCTGTGTTGAGACAACATTAGCGAAATGCCATGGCAATGAACCGAGCTGTCACCCCCACAGGGCTCGGAGGCTCTGAGAGAGAGTTCCAGGGGATGAGATTGTGGATTTAGGCAGAGAAGCAGGCGGCCAGAGCCAAGAGTACTGAAAAGGCAAGGCAAGGGGGCGTGGGCCACCCTCAGGCCCCTCTCTGAGCCTCCCCTGTAAACGGGCAGCTGCCCATTAGCCAGGCCCCAGTGGAGTGAGGAGGTGCCTCAGGACAGTGGAGACACACAGGGCAGTGAAAAGAATGGGTGCAGAGAGATAATAACCGCCAGGGTTCTGTTAATAAGGTGAACAACAGGGGCGCCTGGGTGGCTTAGTCGGTTAAGCGTCCGACTTTCGCTCAGGTCATGATCTCACGGTTCGTGGGTTCGAGCCCCGCGTCGGGCTCTGTGCTGACTGCCAGCTCGGAGCCTGGAGCCTGTTTCAGTCTGTGACTCCCTCTCTCTCTGACCCTCCCCTGCTCACGCTGTCTTTCTCTCTCTCTCCTAGAAATAAATAAAAATATTAAAAAAAAATTATTAAAAAAAAATAAAGTGAACAACAAAAAGTTCAAAACAGGAGCACCTGGGTGGTTTGGTTGGTGAAGCATTTGACTCTTTCTTTTTAAAATATTTATTTATATTTGGGGGGAGAGGGGCAAAGGAGATGGAATCAGAACCCATCTGAAAGCAGGCTCCAGGCCCTGAGCTGTCAGCACAGAGCCCGAAGCAGGGTTTGAACTCGTGAACCGAAAGATCATGACCTGAGCTGAAGTTGGAGACTTAACTAACTGAGCCACCCAGGCGCCCCAAGCATCTGACTCTTGACTTCGGCTCAGGTCATGATCTCAGTTTGTGGGTTCGAGTCCCGCATCAGTCTCTATGCCAACAGTGCAGAGCCTGCTTAGAATTTTCTCTCTCCCTCTCTCTCTCTGCCTCTCCCCCCAACTCTCTCTCTCTTTCTGTCTCTCAAAATAAATAAACATTAAAAAAAAAAGTTCAAAACAGAATGAATACCATGCCGACATTTATTTTGAAAAGCGGATTTATATACAAACACACACGTACCTTTATAAGCATAGAATTTTTCTGGAAGGCTCCACAAGACTGAGTGACAGCGATTCCCTCTGGGATGAAAAACTGGGGAGCTGACAGCAATCTCAGTTGGAAAGGAAACTGTGACATTTTGAATGGTTTGGGTTTTTTAAAAGTTATATGCAGCTGTTACCTTCTACACAATTGTCACTAAAAAAGAGGGGAGTCAACACCGTGTGTGGTTGTGTCCATGAGCATGGGCTAAAACTGCCACCTTGAGATCTTTGTAAAGGATACACAGTTCCAAAGGCAAAGTATAGAATTTTTACACGTGGAAAAGCGTTGCTGATTTCTCAGCCACCAAAGATTTGGTATTTACTTATTTAATCATGCAAAGCATGTGTTTGGTCATGTGAAAAAGGAGACCTTGGCCCTCTCTAGCTGTCACACTCGAACCCTGGCCCCAAGCGGTCTCCGTGGTGGCCCCTGGAGGCCCTGGAACGCGGAGGCCTGCAGAACAGCTGACTGACCACACACAGCCTTCTGTCCAGCCCCGGCCTCTCCCTGAATCCTGCCTCAGTGTTCTGACTCACCCCGGTTTTTTCTTCCTTCCACCTACTGCCCACATACACATCAAATGCTTCCAGAGCGCTCGGCCACACAGGGGCCAATCTATGTGCTGGGTGTCCTAACAAAGGGTCACCAGCCTGCTCTTAAAGTGCAAATCGGAGCAAAAACCTCGGTGGTTCTCACTCAGGCACCAGCACCATCTCTCCGGGGAATACATTACAGTCCAGGAGCCTGGGCCCCATCCCTGGAAATGCTGGATGGAGGGGGTGGGGGAGAGGCGGGGAAGCATCTGCGTCTTCCCCAAGTCTCCAGTGACTTCCAGGGAGCCCCGCCAGGACTGCGTATCCCAGGAACGCCGTGAACCGGCCGAGGCAGAGGCCCAGCACGAAGCACACACCAGGCTAATTGGCCGGTCCCAAACCCTCCCTCTTTTTGCCTTGCTCATCTGGGTGTTATTTTGCTCATATTTGATAAGTTACATCACTGATTTCTACACACGCAAGTATGTTTCTTGCTCACATTTGTTTCCCACGATTCCCCTGCAAAAGTCTCTTACCGAGTGGACAAAGGCTCTGACCTCATCGCTCGTGACCTTGGACTTCATGCAGGCACAGCAGACATGGAAGGGCTTCACTGCCCTCTACCCCAAGCCCCGCAGCCTTTCCTGAAGCCCCTGGGATTTCATTAAGACCGGGGTCCACCCACAGAGCCCTCATTCCACACACACACCCACGCAGCTACATCCCACCTGCCCCTGCCTGCCCACGCTCAGGGGGACTCAGGTCAGGGATCTGCTCACCTGCTGTCACAAGGGCAGGGAAGGTCCAGCTTGGAGCCCCGTGGGCTTGGGTTCAGGCCAGGCCTGCCTGCTGCTGGCACTGCGATCTCAGGTGAGTTCCTTCATCCCGGCTTCGGTTTGCTGTGAGCGGTGCGAGCGAAGAGACGCACTGCCCGGGTCAGCAGGGTTGATCAAGAGGCAAGCACTGTTGTCGTTCTCTAAGCTCCAGTCTTCAGCGCCCTCCGAGGTGGGGCCATTAGCATCCCATTTCACAGATACGGAAACCGACTTCAGAGAGGCTGAGCAACTCGCCCCAGGCGGTCACATCCTTGTGACCTCAGAGCCCACGCACTGGCGCCCCTGTGCTGTCACGCTCAGCCCTAGGCTGGAGCGCATGCCTGCTGGTCTGAGTCCTGTTGCTCCAGCCTAGGAAGGTGAACTTGGCAGGGCTCAAGGGCATCTGGCTCTGCTTCCTCCGCTTTGCTCTCCTCTGGAGCTGGGAGCGGGGCTGGGTGTGCCCCCCCGGCCCCTGCCAGTCCCAACGCCATCCAAACCCCAGCAATATTCCTCAACAAATGTGCAGGTCTCACTTACGATGGATGGCTCCCCGCGCCCCCCGCCGGCAGATGGAAAATCACAATTACTTAGACTACTACCAGCAGGGACAGAGAACGGAATCCAAGACAGCAAAGTCTAGGGCTGTCCTTTCCTTTGTCCCCTTGTGGTGGATACAGGTAGTGTTTATCCCACCCGGTCCCTGCCGGCCCCCGTCCCTACTGCCTTCCTCATGTGTCTGTGATTTGTCTCCATCCCAGATGCTGTGAGCCCAAAGATGTTTGAGGAGCTTAAGAGCCAGCTGGACAGCCTGGCCCAGGAGGTGGCCCTCCTGAAGGAGCAGCAGGCCCTGCAGACAGGTGAGTGCAGACGACAGGTGTGCCGACGACAGCCTCTCCGGGCCGGTTTGGGTGACAGCCAGCGGTGTGCCTGCAGGCTCCGGCCAGTACTGGGGCCCCTGCTGTAGGCCAAGAACCGAGGGGCTCAGGGAGCCCCCTCCTCAGCTGGCTTCCTCGCTGCCTGCAGACCCCCTGCGGTGTGTTCTTCCACAGGAAATGCATGGCCGGCCCTCCAAAAGCAGCATGGCCCCAGGAGCACTGGGGAGCCAGCCAGCAGCCTTCCTAGAGGACCCTCCCCTCAGCCACCATCACTCCTAATCATGGTTCACGCCTGGGAGGCTCTCGATTGAGCAACTGACTCTTGATTTTGACTCAGATCATGATCTCGTGGTTCGTGGGTTCAAGCCCAGCATTGTACTGACAGTGTGGACTCTGCTTGGGATGCTCTTCCTGCTCTCTCTCTCTCTCTCTCACTCTCGCTCGCTCTCTCTCTCTCAGAATAAATGAAGAAACAGGGACACCTGGGTGGTTCAGTCAGTTAAGCGGCTGACTTCGGCTCAGGTCATGATCTCGCGGTCCGTAGGTTCGAGCCCCGCGTCGGGCTCTATGTGCTGACAGCTCAGAGCCTGGAGCCTGTTTCAGATTCTGTGTCTCCCTCTCTCTCTATGCCCCTCCCCAGCTCGTGCTGTGTCTCTCTCTGTCTCAAAAATAAATAAACATTTTAAAAAATTCAAAATAAATGAAGAAAAAAAATAAACATGGAGAAACCAAGGCTTAGAGAGGTCCTGCTCCTTGCCCACGCTCACCTGGCTGGTCAGTACAGGTTAAGATCTGAATGGGAGCGGCCTGCGGGTGCAGGGTGGGTGGGAGGAAGGGTGGGTTTGGGTCTCCTGGCGCTGCTCTAACCAGACAAGCGAGGATGGACGCAGTCACACTGCTACAGGTCTAGCTGGCCAGCCTACCTGGGCTGCCTAGTGTCTCTTTCTCTCTCTCTCTCTCAGCCATATTCCTTTCATGGTGACTCAGACTTGTCTACTCCCCTGCGACCTTGCCCCAGAGGACCCAGAAAACACTGGCGAGCAGTAATCCATTACGCTTACGACAGGAGCTTAGCACATGGTGGGCACTGTTCCACGTGCTTTGTGTACATGAACTCACTCTCCACAGAAAACCCACGTAGCGAGCATGTGACTAGAACCCCACCTCCATTTCCCACCATGCTGTTCTGGCAGCCTGCATTGCTCTCCCAAGACCCACCTAAAACGTGCCTGTGACATCACTGCCTCAGGACTCTCTCGTCCCTTGTCTCAATCAGTCTCCTCAGTTATAACACCCAAAAATGTTCTTTCCTTCATCACATTTATTGCAGTTTGTAGTGATATATTCATTGGTACTCGGTAAATTTCTTTTTTTTTTTTTAAATGTTTTATTTATTTCTAGGAGAGAGAATCAGCATGAGCAGGGGAGGGTCAGAGAGAGAGGGAGTCACAGACTGAAACAGGCTCCAGGCTCTGAGCTGGCAGTCAGCACAGAGCCCGACGCGGGGCTCGAACCCACGAACCGCGAGATCATGACCTAAGCGAAAGTCGGAAAGTCGGACGCTTAACCGACTAAGCCACCCAGGCGCCCCTAGTCGGTAAATTTCTAACAAAATTTTTTTAACGTTTATTTTTGAGAGAGAGTGTGCTCACACGAGTGTGGGTGGGGGATGGGCAGGGAGAGAGGGAGACACAGAATCTGAAGCAGGCTCCAGGCTCTGAGCTATCAGCACAGAGCCCAACGTGGGGTTCGAACCCACAAACCATGAGATCATGACCTGAGCCGAAGTTGGATGTCCAACCGACTGAGCCACCCGGTGCCTAGCACCTCAGTCAATTTCTGAAGAGAAATGATTTTATACAACCTGCTTAACATAGCAACTGGGCTCAGGGGGTTCTAGAAAGGGGAGTGTCTACCATGGTTTGGCTTCAAGTAATAGAACACCTTATAGTAGCATAAATAGAAAGTGAGTCTGAAAGCAGGTAGCTGTGAGTTTTTGTTCAGAAGCTTTGCCTCCCGGCCCCAGATGGCTGCTCCAACTCCTGGCATCATGAGCACACTCGAGGCAAGGTGAAGGAGAAAGAATGCACCAGCCATTTATCAGGAAAGCAGACGTCTTCTGTTCCCATCTTCCTGATGAGAGCTCTATCATAGGCCCCACCCCCACCCCCGCCCGCCCCGTAGCTTCGTTAGGAGAAGGAAGATTTCCCCGGAATAGAGGTACAGACAAGAGAGAAAGGAGTTGGGAACGGATGTTGGTTGGGTCAACGGACAGTATCTGCCACAGACGGAATGTCTCAAATGTGCGCAGTGCCCTTCTGGGGTCCGTTGCCTCATCTGCAGAGTGGAAGCTGTGCGGGCACACTGCCCAGCAGGCTCTAACGTCTCTTGCTCACGTCTAAGCTTTGTGCTTGGACAGAGTCCATGTAACCCAGGTGCCACGTGCCCCCTGTGGCGAGGTGATGTGGTGGGGACCTCCTGGCATGAAGTCCCTGGCCTATGGCCATCCAAACACTCCCCCCACCCCATGTCTGCTGATTCCTAGGAGGTTCATGGCCTCCAAAGCTGATCGGGCTCTCCAGAATCCCCCTGCTTTGGGCAGAGATGACCCTGCTTTTATACTTTCCCGGTCCCCCAGGCCCTGGAGATGGCACCCAGGGATGGGCGAGCCTTACCACCTCTGGCATGGGGATCAGGGCTCTGCATCAGTGTTCATCACGCGCCTGCCTTCTGGCCCCGGGGCTCTCCAGGGGCATAGGGAAGGCCTGGCATACCGCAGGAGGCCAAGGCCAGGCCTTGGGCTCGGGAACCTGGCGACCTGGGGTGATGGCCATCTCTCCCCCTCGCAGTCTGCCTGAAGGGCACCAAGGTGCACATGAAGTGCTTCCTGGCCTTCCCCCAGTTGAAGACCTTCCACGAGGCGAGCGAGGACTGCATCTCGCGCGGGGGCACCCTGGGCACCCCGCAGACGGGCTCGGAGAACGACGCCCTCTACGAGTACCTGCGCCAGAGCGTGGGCGCCGAGGCCGAGATCTGGCTGGGCCTCAACGACATGGCGGCCGAGGGCGCCTGGGTGGACATGACCGGCGGCCACATCGCCTACAAGAACTGGGAGACGGAGATCACGGCGCAGCCCGACGGCGGCAAGGCCGAGAACTGCGCCGCCCTGTCCGGCGCGGCCAACGGCAAGTGGTTCGACAAGCGCTGCCGCGACAAGCTGCCCTACATCTGCCAGTTCGCGATCGTGTAGCCGCGGCGGGCGGGGGGCGGAGCCCGGGGCGCCCCAGCCCTGCTCGGGGTGCAAATAAAGGCGGTGCCTCTGGACCGGGAAGTGGCTGCGTCTGTGTTGGGCCCGCGGGGTTGGGTGCTCCCTGGAGGGGAGGGGAGAGAGGAGGGAGGAGGGGAGGGGAAAAGAGGAGGGAAGGAGGAGGGGAGAGGGGAAAAGGGGAGGGGATGGGAGGGGAAGGGAGGAGGAGACGAAAGTAGGAGGGGAGGAGAAAGGAGGAGGGGAGGGGAGAGGAGGAGGAGAAGGGGAGAGGAGAAGGGAAAGGCTGAGGGGAGGAAGGGAGGATGGGAGAGAAGGGGAGGAGGTGGAGGGGGAAATATAAAGGGGGGAGGAGAAAGGAGGAAGAGGAAGGGAAGGAGAAAGGGGGGAGGGGAGGAGAGGGAAGGTGAGCCGGTCACACTTGGTTCACACCACCGAGGGTTTCTCCGCAGAAAGATGGAAAAGAATGGAGACCGAGAATCCCCGACTGCTGCTGCCTCTTTGCATAACGTTTTATCATATAATTTCCTACTTACTGAACAGGTGCAAGAATTCCCCGGTACCCTTCATCCACATCTTCCAAAAATTAACGTTTCCCCATATTTGCTTTATCCTTTTATTTTTTTCGGGACCATTTGGCAGTAAAGTGCAGACATGATTCCCCTTTTTTACCCCCGAAATGCTTCCGTGAATGTACTTACAGAGAACAAGTAAGGAACAAGTATTTACTTACTGAGACATTTTCTTACACAAGCACAGCGCGGTTATCAAAGTTGGGAAATTGACACAGACACAACATTGCTGTCTAGGTTACTGCCCTGATTCCGATTTCCAGGATTCTTTTTGGAAACTCCACTTCCGAGTGCTGGAAAGGATAGACCCCTCACGCCTCGCTCCTGCAATCCCTCCCGCTGTGGATCCATTTCTGGGTTGCCCTGACAACTGAGTCCTGCTGAGGGGGGAGGGGAAGGGGGTGGGGCCGAGAGCGGAGGGTGCCGGCAGGATACTTTGCATTCCTATCATTCCCCAGCACACCCTGGGGGATGATTTGACAATGGCCAATATACTGCCTGACTGGGCTTGTCTCCTTACCACTCCTCACAGAAAGCTCCGCGCTGGCAATAACAGCTACCACTTGCTGAGCCCACCTGCTTATAGGAATTTTAAGTGTGTTGTTTTATTTGATCTTATCTACCCAGGACAGGATGCACTATTATCCCCATTTTGTAGAAAAGGAAGTTGAAGCTCAGGGAAGTTAAGTGACTTCCCTCGGGGTCACCCAGCCAGTCATGGCAGAGCCAGGATTTAACCCATGGCTGATTCCAAAGGCATTTCCACCACCGCTGTGATGTTTGTTTGCTTCATGGACTGGAAACTTCTTGAAATAAAACATTAGAAAAGTGGCACAGTGACAACCCCCCCCCCCCCAAGACTACTGGCCAGCTCTTGGCGTGACCTGGCTAGTGACACCTCCTGGGGGAAGTCTTTCTTGTCCCATCAGCCATGGTAGCACACATCCATGCTAAAAATCCACCAAAATCTCTGGTGGTTTTTTACTGTCTTGCCTTAAATAATAAATTGATGACAGTTTGATTTGCAGCATGGCAGGGGGTAGCTTCTAGTGAACAGTATGTGTCCTTCAGGCAGTCTGCTGGGCACTGGCACAGAAAGCCTCTCATGGAATTCAGTAGTTATGGGAAGAGGTAATATAATCCAGATTAGGCGCGGAGACAGGGTCAGAAGGCTGGTGCCATTTGAACAAACGGCTCTGATGCAAAGCTGAGACCAATCTAAACCTTGTGATCCTGAGTTTGGGCTCTTTTTACCCGACTCAGCTGTAATCTAACAGGATGCAGGTGACCAGGGGTATTTTCAAAGTTCCTGAAGCGGGTGGCTGCCCGCAAGAGGGCACCATGCCTCTGTGTGTGAGCTCGGGTCCTGGCGGAGAGGTGCCACGGGCCACGGGCGTGCCTCTTGGGCAGGCAGCCAGCACTTCCGGCCTCCGGCAGCAGGTGGCAGTATGGCTGAGAGAATCGTTATGCATCGCTAATAGGGCCATAGATGCTCTTCCATTGGAATACTGAGGCCAGTGGACGGCAAACTGGGGGACTCTTGTCCTGGGATCTTGGTCTTTTTTTCAAGTTTATTTTGAGGGAGAGCGAACAAGCAGGGAAGGGGCGGGGGGTGGGGGGGACAGAGGATCCGAAGTGGGCTCTGCTCCACGTGGGGCTTGAACTCACACATGGTGAGATCATGACCGGAACTGAAGTCAAATGTGTAATTGACTGAGCCATTCAGGTGCCCCTTTCTTGTTTTTATTTTAACTTCTGGCACTTTGTGTGTTTGGACAGTTTTGTTATGGACTGTTTTGCACTCGTTTTGATTTTTAAAAATATCACGTCGAGATCTGAGGTTGTTTTTGTGTTTTGTTCTGTTTTGGGTGCTCCCTTAAATTTTGTACCCCAGGTGACTGCTTCACATGGTGCTTCACTCACCTCAGTAGTCCCGGCCCTGGCTCAGAGGTACAAACTTTGCAGAATCTTCCAAGATGTAGGTAAGCAAGGATGAGGAAGTTGGAGTCCAGGACTTCAACTTCTCCTGGAAAGAAGCGTCCTAATATTCCCCTGGAACTGATGTTGAGGCCTCTTGCACAATCAGCCTCTCTTCTCTGTCCCATGCTGTGTAGCTTGGTGTGTAAGACGCTTTGGGGATACTGAACAAAGGGACAATTTGACATATTGGTCAGGCTGGTGGCTCTCAACCCTGGCCAGATATTAGAATCACCTGAGGTACTTAAAAAAACAACAACAACAACAATACCCAGCCTACGCAGTGGACCGATTACATCTGAATCTCTGGGGAGTGGGACCAGGCACTGGGAGTATTTGAAGCTTTCCAGGCGATTCCAAACAGTAGTGGTTGGGAACCATTCACTTAGGGAAGCTAGCTACCTACTAGGTTAGGGTTTTGGAAGCAGAAGCAGCCCATCAGCCCCAGAACATCTTCACCTTTGGTCTGCCTCAGTCTGAATTTCCTACCATTCTAGGCCTTGAGCAGTCAGGATTGGCTTGGTTTGTTAAGTTTGGTTACTGTTTTATATTGATTTTGACAGGAAGTGGAGGCTCAACTTGAAGGAGTTGGTATAAGTTCATTTCAGTAGGAAGTAGACATGTTTATCCAGTTAGAATCAGATTTGGTTGCATATAATGAAAAATCCCAAATAACAGGGCCATATGACGGAAATCCAGAGGCAGATCATCCAATGCTGATACGTCATCTCTAAAGTCACAGGGAATTCAGGGTTCCCTTTATTTTTCCCATTCTACCATTCGAGTGTGCACTTTCTTTCTTTGGGGTCACCTCATGGTCCGTGGTGGCGGCTGAAGCACCAGCCATTATTATCCACATTCCAGGCATCAAGTAAAAGAAAATGGAGAACGGGCAAGAGAGCTCCAGTCAGCTCCCTTTAGGGAGTCTTCTCTTTTCCTTATGTTACATAGGCCAGAACTTTGTCAAATGCCTATCCGCAAGAAAGGCGGAGAAGTACAACTTTTTCAATAGGTACTTCATGCCCCAAATAAAATCAAACATCTTTAAGGAAGAAGGGGCAAATGGTAATGGGCAGTTGGGAGTTGTAGTATGGAGCCACTGCAGACCCAAAGCCTGACCGTGAGAAGGAACTAGAAACTAGGAGGCCAAATTAAGTGATTTTGAAGAAGAAATGATTCATTCATCTGGTTCCCCAAAACTTGCTGCTGTGGGTCTTTTACCTTGTTTTCTGTTGGGCAGCAGGGAGAAGCCCTAGTTCCTTTTCAACAAATTCCTAGTTCCTAAGCACAGCTATCTCAGTCTTAGTTTGGGGTCAGTCATCTCCCAGGGCAGCCATCTTCCTGAAGAGCCCAGACCAAGAAGAGTGCCCCCCACCCCCCGCTCCCTGCCTCCTCTCACCTGGACGGTAGAATCGTTGATTGCCGATCTGGAGTCAAAAGCCACAGGGCACACCTTGGCTGACTGTGGCTGCATTCTGTGACGCTTTCTCTTTCACTCCCCTGGAGAGTGAGTTGCACACTGTATCACTTACGGTCCTGGCAGGAAGCTGAATCCGACTTGGACAGTACAAAGGATTGTAGCAAAAGGATTGTGGGAAGCCCTCGTTTTGCACAGTTCTGATACGAATTTCAATTATCGATAATTTCAATTATTTTAAATGACGCCAGTCCCCCCAGCAAGACGGTTCCAATCTCAGTTCTACTGGTATCTTAACTATGAACAATTTCATAAAGCTTCGGTTGCTAAGGTACCATTGGACTGCTAGCTCTGCAGTCCAGAAATCACTATGTGAACTGCAGGTACACCGTGTGATCGGTGACCACTCATGTCACCTCTTTCGTGACAGATAGCAGAATACGCAGCTGTGTTGTGTCCTTGTCTCCCACTGATGAACTCAGGAGACATTTTACAAAGAGAACTGAAACTGGGAACTGGCCATTGAAGATGAAAGTGCAGCAAAGCAATGAAACCTGATAATGCAGGTGGAGAAATCTGAATATAGACAGGGCTTAGAGAAGAAACAGCTGACGGAGGACCTGCTGCCTTTGGAGATGCTGCATATGGGGCTGGCGGAACTTAGGGAAGGTGCACTTGTAATACATGAATGAGAACGTGAAGAACATGAAGATGTCACCAAAGAAGTTAATGCCAGCAAAATCCCACATTGGAGGAACTCTTGGAGTTCCTTTTGTGACTTTAATAGTGAGAAAGATGGGGCGCCTGGGTGGCTCAGTCCATTGGGCGTCCGACTTCAGCTCAGGTCATGATCTCACCATTTGTGAGTTTGAGCCCCACCTCGGGCTCTGTGGTGACAGCTCAGAGCCTGGAGCCTGCTTTGGATTCTGTGTCTCCCTCTCTCTGCTCCACCCCTGCTTGTGCTCTGTCTCTCAAAAATGAATAAATGTTAAAAAACGTTTTTTTCTAAATAGTCAGAAAGATAGGGGCACCTGGGTGCCTCATTCCTTTAAGCATCCAGCTCTGATGTCATGGCTTTGTGAGTTTGAGCTCTGAGTCGGGCTCCATGCTAACAGTGCAGAGCCTGCTTGGGATTTTGTCTTCCTCTTTCTCTGCCCCTCCCTCTCAAAATAAACCTAATTTAAAAAAATTGTAAGAAAGATAAAATGCTGGAAGCTGATCCAAACTTAGAAAGCAGTGTGACAATTTGCTGAGGCACAGAAAAGATGCCCAGTCCGTAACAAGATTAGCTGGTGGGGAGAGACAGGCAAGGCTCTGTTCAAACTCCTCCTTGGCAAGACCTTTCCAAAGAAATACTTTCTCAAAGCCTGTGACAATTCAGACTACTGTATTTAATAGTTGTACCTTTTCTCTTACCAACAGCCACACAAACCCTCTGAAAGGTCGATCATAATTTACCCCGGTGATCGTGAAGGTTGTTTTGCACAATCACAGCTTGCTTGGGTGTTTTTACAGTCCCAGGATCACCGTGTGACATAGGGACTCCTGTATTTACAGAGATATGGGCATTTGCACCAAGTAAGCGAGGGGCAGTGGGGGCAGCATTCGGAAGCTAGACACAGCAGGAAGCACCCTGAGGGACACAAGGATCGGCAGCCTGGTAGGGGTCAGGGTCAGGGTCAAGGGTGGGTGGGGGTGGGGGCAGATAATGCTTTGGGAGCCACAGAGCAGGAGCACATGCGGAGAGAGCTCTGTGCAGGGGGACACAACCACAGACAGGAAATGCAACCCAGAGCGGGGTGGGGGGGGGGACTGGGAGAAATAGCCTAACACCAGCCCGTGTCCACCCTCCCAGCTTGACAACGTGCTTCCTGCCCGCTGAAAGGTAGCTCGCAGTGCTGGGTCTGCTGGGAAATGCGGTCTGGTCAGACTTCCAGGTCACTGGGCAGGGGAGAGGTGGGTGAAGCCTGCACAGGCGAGTAAGTGCATTGACCACGTGCTGTTACTTTTATGTGCATGCCCTGCAGTCGGGGACGAAGTCACCTGCATCTCTGGTGCTCAGTGCTAACACCTCAGTAAGGACGAAGTGAACAGATCTGGGAACCCAGGTCTCCATTTTATTGGCGTGTCCCAGAATTCCCTTGATGCTGCTCGTCACATTGGCTGGGACGTAAAACAGAAAAGACTCCAGGTCAACGGGAAGGAGAAAAAGCGGTCAGTGTTTTTCAGCCAGTGTTTATGAGAACCATTTCTGTTTGAGAGTCCCCCAAACTCAGTAGATTTTAAGGAAGATGGGCTGGAAAAGTTTCAAATCCCATTCGAAATACAACTGACAGAATGTCAGGCGTGCGTGGGTACAGCTCTCAGAGGTTACTGCATATAAAGCATTAGGGCCGGGGCGACCAGGTTTTCAAGCATTTTACTGACGTGCGTTTCTGTAACTTACATAAGGCATTTCGTGCGTTTTAGTTCCGTCTCTGGAACTCTATTGGGGGTCTGGGGCATTCATTAAACAAAAACTTGCCATTTAATGAAAAGCAGCTCTCCTTCGGCACTGCTGACATCAGGGGCCAGATGATCCTTTGCTATGAGCACTGCTGTGTGCACGGCACCATGTTTAAGCCACCTCCTGACATCTACCCACTAAATGCTCCAGCTGCGACAGCCCATGGCTGGGGGCAGGCAGAATCACCCCTTTCCCCTCACCCCCCGCTGAGAAGTGGAGGAGCTGTGAGGGGGTACCTGAGAAGCCCTCACAGAAAAGAACCCCCAAAAAATAGTTGAGGCAGACCTTATTTGTTTGAGGTATTAGGTTCCATGGCTTCTAAAGAAACCGTATTTCCCAGGCCAGAGTTCAGCACAGGTGACTTTACAGGAACTTAAAAAAAACAACGGGGCGCCTGGATGGCTCAGTCAGTTGAGCGTCCGACTTCAGCTCAGGTCATAATCTCACGGTTCGTGAGTTTGAGCCCCGCATTGAGCTCCGGGCTGACAGCTCGGAGCCTGGAGCCTGCTTCCGATTCTGTCTCTCTCTCTCTCTGCCCCTCTCAAGCTCATGCTTGCGCACACTCTGTCAAAAATAAAAACTTAAAAACACAATAAAAAACACAACATCCCTCTTCTGTGAATTTATTTCTTCACCAGTAGTACACAGGTTGTATCACATTTGTGTAAGGATTTTTTTCCTCTCTTTTCTTTCCCCCTTTTATCCTGACGACCATTCCCCCCAATAAATCTCTTGCATGTCTAATCCCATCCTGATGCCTGCTTCTAGGGGCTCTTAAACTGGTTCAATGGCTCAAAAAAGTGAACTGTCCACTGAAGAAATGTATGGCCCCGGGTGTGGGGGGGTGGCCCAGATGTCTACAAGAGAGCCCCTGCCAGCCTCCACTGCCGCCCTCCAGGGGCAGGCGGCCAGTCTTCCCTGGCTGCCTCTGGGCAATGACTGAGCAGGGGAGGGGCATTGGGGCCACTGTTCTGCCCAATGAGAGGACTCCTCTGATGAGGCAGCTAAGCTTGGGGAGTCCCCAGGGGCTTGATCAAGAGTTTCCCAGAAGTGCACTGTAGCCCGTGGTTCCCCTACCCAGTCCCTCTCTCTGGGGGTCAGCTGGCACAGGGGTGCGGCCCGAACTGCAGAGGGCTTCCCCTGCTGGCTCCTGTTCCCTCAAACCCTTGATCCCTCACAGGTGTTTCCCCTAATAAATCTCTTGCACTTCTAATCCCGTTTTGCTGTCCGCTCCTCAGACGGTCAGACAAGTAATGGATTCCCTAAAAAATCTGAATTCTATAAAATAATACGTAGCAAAACTATGTCCAAGGGAATCGAGTAGTTAGAACACTTGAAAGCAGGGATGTACCAGAAAATTGGGATGTATGATCATGCCACCTAGGTTTCCTATGAGAATGGACTGTATTTCTAAGTGAGGATGATCTGTACTAAGAAATGGTCATTTATTGCCCCCCCCACCTCTTTATCAGAGCTTCTTCCAATAGAGGAAGGGAACCCCGGATCTGTGCAGGTGACAGAGAGATGAATATCCCAGGCCAAGCTGCCACTTTCTCCCACCCTCCCCGGCAAATCCCCCTCCCTATTCTTGCCCATCCCTCTTCCTTTTCCAGTGTGATGATCCTTATCCCACCATGAAGATATGAGACTAGGATGGACAGAAGGCTGGCACTTGAAGGTCAAGGCTTTGCCTTTGCAGTGAGAAAGAGAAAAGTTGTCCCTGGCAACCACGAAGTTCTCCTGCTGAACACAGCCAGTTGCTCTGATCGCCAACCCCAGATGAGGTCTGACAAAACAGGGCTATTCCACACTCATGTCCAAGCACAGAAGGAATCAAGGCCACTGTGCAAACCACAGAAACCACGCAACATCCTCTGCCCCCCCACCCCCAGCTAACACGGGTGATGGCCATCTTGTTACCAACCACAGTTTTAGCTCTGCTGCCTTTGTCTCAGCTTCTCTATGAAAATTGAGATGCCCAGTCATAGAGTGGATCCTGCTTCCTGAAAGTACCCAATCCAGAACGAATCCATGCTTCCTCGAAACTGCCCTCGCAGTTTTTAACACAGGTGCTGTTATAAGTCTCTTGTAACACCTTCGCACTGAGATGCCCCAGGACTCCTCATCTGTACCCGTACATAGTCTCCCTCATTGTAACCAGCCGGTAAATCCAACTTTGTTCCTGGTGGTCTTTGGTCATGGGCATAGACAGGTGGTCCACAGGTGGCCAGCCCCTGGCCTGTTCTGACTTTGGCTCCTGGCTCTGTCTCCAAGGTGCCGCAACCATCCTATGAGAGAAAAAGAGAAGAAACTGTAGGCAAGACAATGACAAGAGAAAGGTTTCGTCCATACAGCTGAGGTGTAGATGGATCTCCTGACTATGGTTCTGATTCTAACAAGCTGCTCCGTGGCCTTGACAAAAGTGGAGATGCATTTATCCTTCACAGGCCCTCAAAGTGAGTTTTAGACAGCTCAAGGATGACAACAAGCTGTGCCCGAAGGCTGGCACACAAAAATCACTTGTTCGCGGCTCGAGGAGGAACTGTCAGGTTGAGGGAAAGACGGAAGGTACAGAGAACATGAGGAGGTGAACTGAGAGATGGTGAAAGTCGTCGGGTCATCTCAGGGAAAGAGAAGAGCCAAGAACATCAGAGGGAAACAGGTGTAATTAGAACCATAGGAGGCAGAGAAGAGGAGAGACCAAGTTCATCCCGACTGGGAATCCTCTACCCTTGAAGTCTCTCTCAGCCAAGGGAGGAGATCTGCGAAGGGACGGAGAACCGGACGGGAGACATGGTGGGAGGCTGGGAAGATTGGGCAGATGAGCACGAAGGGAAGGGTCAGGGGTGAGAGGAGGGGGATATTCACGCCTGGGGAAGGGACTCAAAGCCCACCTCTGAGTGTGAGCTGAAGCAGGAGCCGGGATGGGCACTTGATCCCCTTACCTTCCTGGATGTGTCAGAAGGAAGCTACTTCCGGCAAGACTCCAGAGAGGTGCCAAGTCCCAGCCTCCAGGCAGTTTGTATCGTTCACCCCCTAAGCCTCCACCTCGGGGGTGGAGCCTCTCTGGGCAGTCCCCAATTTAGAAATGCACAGGCCTGTCAGGAGAAACAACTGATCAATAATGAGGGTGGCTTCCAGAGACTTAAAGAGGCCAAATAACCAGTGAAAGGCTGCAGAATGCACCAGTTAGGAAAACAAATGGTCCTGGGAGGGCCCAGACCAGGAACGGAAGGGTGCCTGGAAGGGGTTCCGCACGCCCAACCCAGTTGTGCAGGCTCCCCAGGGCCCACAGAGTCGGGGCCTCCAAGCCTCGCCAACCTCGCACACTGCCACCCTCCCGCGTTGTGTGCTTTCACTGCGGGAGGGCTGTCGCGCCCCAGGTGGGGAGTTACATGCTCCCCCCCCAAAACGTGGGCCCAAACCATGAGGGGTGCTTACTAGATCACACCTCTTCTTCTTTTTGTTTTTTTTTTCAATGTATTAATTATTTCTGAGAGAGAGAGGCAGCGTGAGCAGGGGAGGGTCAGAGAGAAAGAGGGAGACACAGAATCTGAAACAGCTCCAGGCTCTGAGCTAGCTGTCAGCACAGAGCCTGACGCGGAGCTCGAACCCACGAACCGTGAGATCATGACCTGAGCCGAAGTCGGACTCTTAACTTGAGCCACCCAGGCGCCCCAAACCTCTTCTGCTTTTAGCGGTGAAAATATTTACCAGAAACTCACTTGGTAAGCTCTTGGCAGTTTCATGGATGAACAGGCTCGTTCTCCACCCGCCTACTTCCTCGTCTGGGGGTCCTAGCACTTTTCCTCATTGGCGCGCCGCTGTGGCCTCAAATCTGGCTTCAACAGGCTTCTGCGCCCTGAGGCCGGGCGAGGCGAGGCCCATGGCCTCCTCTGGGCTGTCTGTCCCACCCTAACCAGAGCGCGGTTATGCCGCGCAGAGAATAGGGTACCGGCTCAACTCCGGGAGACTAACGGCACCAACCGCCAGGTGAGATCCAGCTAACGGCCGCCCGGCCCCGCCCATCCCTGCCTAGCCCCGCCCCACCCAGCTCAGGCCCCGCCCCTCCCACTCCTCGCATAGTTCCGGCTTCCCCTTCCGCCCAGACCTCCGCCCGGACCCAGCAAGTCCCTACGGAAGTCACGCCCCACGGCGTCCGCCACACCCCCGCCCCACGCGGCCCTGCCACGCCCACCAAGCCCTAGCAAATCCCCAGCCGCATCGGCCACGCCCCCCACGCTGCCACGCCCCAGCGAGTCCCCGTCGACGTCACTGCCCCACCACCTCCACCACGCGCTCACTCCTTGGCCTCGGGCTCGCCCCTCTCTTAGCCTCACTCACAGGGTCTTCTCCAAGTCTTAAGGGTCTTTCCCACCCTCTGAGCCTGAGACCCAGGCATATTTTGCACCAGTTGTCCTTTCTGTGGTCCATTTTAAACATAGCTTAAGGGGGACCTGGGTGGCTCAGTCGGTTAAGCGTCGACTTCGGCTCACGTCGCGATCTCACGGTTTGTGGGTTCGAGTCCCGCATCGGGCTCTGTGCTGACAGCTCAGAGCCTGGAGCCTACTTCGGATTCTGTGTCTCCCTCTCTCTTTGCCCCTCCCCTGCTCATGCTCTGTCTCTGTCTGTATCAAAAATAAAAAAATTTAAAAAACCACATAGTTTAAAATCGTGGCTTGGACGTGGGAGGCAGGATGGAGAGCAGGGCAGTGGTTTGGGTGTACGTCACAAGACCTGCCTCATTCTTCCCTCAGAGGCGAGGCGGAAGGAAGGATCTAGACAGCCTAGGAGCTCTTGCCTCACATTCCCAGGATGAGAGCTCTACCTTATTACATAGAAAGAGATGGAAGGATCAGGGACTGATGTAGGCCAGGATCTTTGGATGGAGAGTTTGTTTTTATTGGCACTTGCAGGCAGCTCTTGGAGATTTTGGGGAGGAAGCTGTCCCCTGTGCACCGGCAGCCCTGTATTGAATGGTCCTCTAGGCAAGAGCTCTTTTTCTTTTATTGGAATTTGCTGGAAGAATTTGACTAACCAAGGAAACAAAGCTCGTGATTCCCTTTTCCCTGTCCTCATGTCATATTCAACATCTTGGGGCATCGTTCAGAGAAGGGTCAAGGAGAGTGTTTATTCTGCAGAAGCTCATCCCTAATGTAGCCATTATCTTCAAAACTTCCCTGGGGCGCCCGCCTGGCTCAGTCAGTTGAGCATCTGACTTCAGCTCAGGTCATGATTTCACAGTTCCTGGGTTTGAGCCCCATGTTGGGCTCTGTGCTGACACAGAGCCTGCTTCAGATCCTCTGTTTCTCTCTGCCCTTTTCCACTGATGTGCGCGCTCTCTCTCTCTCCTTCTCTCAAATAAACATTAAAAAATAAAAATAAATAAAACCGTCTTGGGACACTTGGGTGGTTCAGTGGGTTGAGCATCTGACTCTGTTTCATCTCAGGTCATGATCTCATGTGAGTTTGAGCCCCACGTAGGGCCCTGTGCTGACAGCTCAGAGCCGGGAGCCTGCTTCAGATTCTGTGTTTCCCTCTCTCTGTTCTCCTCTCCCGCTCGTGTTCTGCCTCTCAAAAATAAATAAACGTTAAAATTATTTTTTAAAAACACGCCTTCTTCCTGATTGTTTGGGTCCTTAAAGATCTGGGGAAAGAGGACCTGAAGAATGTCAATTCAGAAACTTGAGACAGGACTAAAGCGTGGTAGAAGTGTCTGCCCTCTCCACCCCAAAGCTGGGGTCTGATGAGATAGATCAAGGATGCCCCAGAGGGCCACTCTCTCCAACCTAGCCTGTTTGGTTATTTATTTATTTGTTTTTTTCTGGGTGGCCCGAATATGGGTTTCTTCTCCCCTGCAGGTGAGAAAAACACTAGATTGCTATTAAAGAAACAGTATATCTCTCTGCAAAGGTTTGGAATCCAGATCAAATCTTGAGGTGAGCCTGTCTGGCTGCTCCCACCTTCAGCATTGCTGGGGGGCTGTGACTGAGTGCATGATTTTCCTTTATAGCATCCAAAATGTAAGTTATTAGTTAAAGGATATTGCTAAGGAATCCTTGCAACATGCTTTAATTGGTTTATAGATTAATATAGCTTGTTTGCTAATGTAAATAACTTGCAAGTAGTCTGTTGCCTTGGGAGCAAGGTGAGAAACAATGGAAAATTTTCCTCTGAATTGGGAAAACGGAATGGAAATTGGCAAAGACCCCTCATCACATTTTCTTACTGCCGCTCCAGCCTCAGCCGGACGGTGATCCCCTCTTGTAGTTTAGAAGTGTTTTAACAGCTCAAGAGAGCACCCATACTTGTTGAATGAATGAGTGAATGCGTACTCCCTAAGGTTTGTAATCCAACCGCCCCCCCCCCTTCCTTATAGTTCTTCCCCGGGCTTCTCCATCCACACTTAGCTTTACTTTAGCACCGTGTCTTTCATACCGTATGTATTTGGTAGGAGTGAATTGCAATGACCTAATTGAGTTAGATATCAATTAGCATTCCACGGTTTAGTGCTACCTGTGCTAAAACTCTTCAAGCAGACCAAAGCGGATGTGATGCCAGGTTCAGTGATTGCCTAACTCTTGACAAGGCTCTGAAGACATATGGAAACATCTTGATGTCTCTGTGCAAGAAGTCCACCCTTGCAACATCTGTAGCAAGTGTAAATTTCTATCTTAAGAAACGAGGTCTCTGGCCTGGAAGAAAATGAATTAGATTAATTTTTTTTTTAAACACCAAAGACAGAGACTTTATTATCTCGAAAAAGGCTTTTTGTCCATGTTATTTAAGGAAAACATAACTGGAAATACAACTTCATCCTGGGTATCCTGAACCAATTTGGCATTAAAGATTTTTTAAAAGGTATAGGACAGTTTATCTTCATTATTGGAACTCTCTCTGCTGCCAGGTCTTCTCAAAAAGACTATCTGCAGAAATATCCCTGGGTTGCCATTCAAGAGGAAGTGAGGAAGATATCTGCAAAGATCTAACCTCTGACTGGAAGGATCACCTCTGAAGAACAGATTTCCCAATTCTCCTTCCTTCAGCTGGGCCTCGGTTTCCACATCTGTGAAAGGAATGGGCTGGTCACCAGATAATCTTTAACATTCCTTCTAATTAGAGTTTTCACAGCTCTTTGTTTTTCTGTTTGTTTGCTTTTGCTTTTGTTTTTGTTTTTTGCTGGCTGAAATGAAAGGCAATTGGGCAATTGGCCAACTAATACCAAATGATGAATCTTAGGGGTTTTTTGTTCTTAAATGTGATTCTGCAAGAAAAGACTTCTGCTTTCACTAGGTCCCCTAAAGTATTTGCGTTTATTGGTAAGTGTTTGCATTTCAAATAGAAACTCTGAAAATGGCAGAAGAGTGAAGTCTGCCCTCTGTAAACCAGGCATCACTTGGAATGAGTCACAGACTGTCTTAAAAATACTGGCAATCTTAATTGGTGTTTTTTTCCTTCTTAAATCAATTTTATTGAGGCGTAATTTACCTACACTAAAATGCACACATTTGAGGTGTACTGCTGATCACTTTTGACAGAAATTTGCCCCCATCACTCCCCAAAGTCCCTTCATTTCCTTTTGCAGCCAGTCATCATCAGACTGCGTCTTCAGTGCAGTTAGATCTTCCCTTTGCATCCCAATTTTTGGCTTTCCTGGGGACACAGAGGTGAACAAAAGCCAAGTCTTGGTGCTCAGGGGGCTTATACCCTAGCGCTGTAGAGTGAGCAATTTTGTAGTTAGCCTGAGCCCCAGTTTAACTAATTCAGCCTCTGTTACTGGATAAGGAGATAAGATTCTACTTAGACCTTTGGAGGATGCCCCACATAGGGGCTTCCCCCCTCCCCACGGCCTTGAAACAGCTAGCTTTTTCCCATAGGATGAGGATGTTTTTACTGTGTCTCTCGCAGTATACCAATACCAATGGAATACCGGTGGAATCTTCCTTTATGTTCTTTCTTCTTTTTGCAGTAGCTAGGATACCCAACCCCAAAGGCTCTGAGTGGGTAACAGCAGGGAGCAAAATTGCTGGGTTTTTCAGATGCATTTTGTTCTCCTTCTCTTAAAGCTGGTAGCTTGTGGGGCGCCTGGGTGGCTTAGTCGGTTAAGCGTCCGACTTTCGCTGGGTCATGATCTCGCGGTTCATGTGTTCAAGCCCTGCATCGGACTCTGTGCTGACTGCCAGCTCGGAGCCTGGAGCCTGTTTCAGTCTGTGACTCCCTCTCTCTCTGACCCTCCCCTGCTCACGCTCTCTCTCTCTCTCCTAGAAATAAATAAAACATTAAAAAAAAAAAAAAGCTGATAGCTTGTTTTAGAAAAACAGCCCCTAAGAGTTATTTATTTTCATGAAGAATCATGTGTATAGTCAATGTGTACTCCGTGGGGTAAATAACGTAGAACAAGATGGCAAAGTTAGATACAAGACTGGTTAATGTCCTAGAGGGCAATGAAACCATAAACTTTTGAGGTTATCTGTTTTACTGGATGGAGTTCATTTGCCTCTCTACCTGACAAAAATCATTTGCAACTTATCAGTTTTCTACATATAAACATACACTCTTAACAGAGCCTAGGTCCCAATCAATAGCCAACCCACAATTTCATTTCCCTAGAGCATTGAACGATCCTTAGGTGAACTTGTTAGACAATGCTCTGGGAGACTTGGAAAGGGCATTCAGTCCATCATTTTGCATAAATTTCGCGTTTCGGGTTGTCTGTCTTAACATGATGGACCGCACCCCTGCAAAATAATAGCCAAGCATCATTAGACCGGAGGGACAATGCAGCTGTGCAGCCATGGCCTGTAGAGCTGTTGCAGCTCATGCTACTGAAGAGGGAGTATCAGGCGAGCTGACACCATACCCCCCCACTACCCGGGGTACATGTGGATCTGTGTGTCATTCTTAGGGTTCCTAGGGGACTCCTGGCTGCCCAAGAACAAAGGGAAAGGAAAAAACAAATGGTTAACTGATAGAGATCACAGTCCTGCAGGACATGAGTC